TTTTTATTGGTGTCGTGTTGATACAAGTTAAAGTACGATAGCTTAGAATGGTAATCGTCCTGATATCGACACTCCATCCACACGCTAGTAGTATTTCTTGTTTCTTAACATTGAAAAAATTTGCATATAAGAACAGCTTTGTTTCTCATGGGAAAAATGAATTTAAATCTTCTTCTTCTTATTATCATTATTCTCAATATCTAAAAGGTATTCATGTTCATCATAAGTCAAGAAAAGTTCTCATCGTATATTTAAACATTTTTTCACAAGAAAATCTTTGTGCATAAAAAGATATAACAAAACATGGAAAATAATATCACAATCGAAAAAAAAACAAAAGACTACAAAAAGCTAAAGTGAATTAATAATCAAAAAGTACAGATAATTATTGATAATATAAATGTCAAATGTTTTTATTCTACATGTACCCAATCTTTATTGTCAGGTTCATCTTGATTTTCTTGAACACGTAATTTTTTCATTGAACGTGTAACACGATCACTTGCAAGTTTTGTTGGTGTTGGACCCAAATCAAATTCATCGAAATCTGATTGAAGCCAATCTAACATTTCTGTTTTAAATACAGGCGGTGGTGGTGGTGGTGCTATCGTTGTTGATTGACTTTCAATTGAATTTGTTGTTATTTCAGTTGTCGGTAGTAATCTATCTTCTTCATCATGATCAAAATCGTCATAATGTTGTGCATGAATTTTATAATGATTTTTCATACGATATGCTGATGGTATATATTGATTACATACTTTACATGTACGTTTTTTTAATTCTTTTTTAACTGATGCACAACAGTAGTCAAATGGTAACATTTCATTCTGAAAAGAAAGAGTTTTTTTATTTTTGTTTTTTTGATAAAGTAATGATATGTGTTGATAAATATAAACAATTGACTCTAGTTTTGTTTGTCATTATTAGCTATTGATAGGATGAGTCTAAATCATATTTGACGAAGATTGACGTCAGAACATTGTTCATCAATTTTGTTTTTGTAGAAAATGTGATATGAGGACTAGGCTTTGCTTGATCTCGACCAAAAAAATAGTTTCGACCTTAACGAAATTTGTCAATATCGAATTTAATACAATTTTCTAGCATTGTCCATAAATTTAACTACTATCCATTTTAAAATATAATGTGTTTCAATGTTTTTCGAATAACTTTCGATAGGAATATCATAGAGATCTGCAGTTTTCATCATTCGAAAGAGAAGAAGACTCTGAGCCATCGAAGTATACCGCAATTTGATGAGTCAGCAATCAACCAATCAAGTGAGTTCTTGATGGAGATTTTTGAAAATGGCATTCTCAAGGTATTTCCCTTTTGGTCTATGCAAGGTCGACATGCTTGAGTTTTTGTCGTTCGAGACTTACAAGACTTTTTCCGAGACCCTCGATTTCAGCCAATTTACCTGTTATTGCCAGGAAAAACGGCTAGACAGGCGCGATTAACCATCCTAAGTCGAATGATGATATTTGTTTTTAGATTTGAAATGATCTTACTCTGAGATCTCAATATTTCTGAAATTCCACAATTATCTTCCGTGTTATTTTAAAAAAAAGTGGAGCACGTTATATTTTACTGGAATGAATAAACTAACAGCAAAGTGCTTAATCGATCTATCAATATATACTCATATATATATATATATATATTGGAAAAATCAACATTAAAATCGAGTAAATGTTTTCTACTTGAGCCGTTTAATCTTATTTCTATTATTATTCCTTCTTCAGTCGAGAGTGAGGATGGAAAGCTGTTTCTTCAATATCTCGTTTTCTAGTCAATCTAGTTGGTCACATTTCTACTCAATAATAACGAATAAAACTTTTTTTTTTCTTTTAACCTGTGTATGTTGAATAACAACACCATGAAATTGAATACGTTGGAATAATGAACCATAAAATTGTCCTTTTTGATAATCTCTTTCAGCCATACGTATACCACATGGTGTACGTTCAAATGGTACAGGTGATGGTAAAAATCGATGAGGAAATATTTCAATATAATTTGAACGCCATTTTCCACAACATTCAACTGAATTACAACGAATTATTTGTAATGTATATTGTGTTTGTAAAACATGTATTGCACACCAATATTCATCAATATCATATTTTGGTTGTTCACCAGTTTTTTCTCTTGGTGCACGAGCATTTTCTTGATAATATTCATCTGATGCATGAATACGAAATTCATGTTCTTCTTCTGCTTCTTCATCAGCACAAATTCTGTTTAAAAAAAATAAAATGAATAAAATAAAATAAAATAAAATTTACTGCCGTAAAATTTCATCCATAACAATTTTAATATCGGCTTGTCGACGTTCATCTTCTGATGTTGCTGGTGGATTAATATATTCAGCAACACATGGAAATCCATCAATAACTGATTGATTCCATGTTTCAGCTAAGATTTGTCCAGCTTTACGAAAATTTAATTTTTCTAAATCAACATTTATTGTTACACCTGAATCATTTAAATGTGAACCAAAATGATCATGTGGTAATATAAGACCAGCTAAATCATGAGATAATGGTGCCATACGACGTTCAACTATATTATAAGCTGATTGACCAGGACTTAAAGCAAAAAAAAGAAATATGCGAAAATTTTTTTGAATCATTTTAATATTAAAATAATTCAACTTACGCATGTGTAAGAATAAAAAGTGCATCTAAATCATATTTTTTAAATTTTCTAATACTTGAAACAAGTGTTTTTGGAAAACGTGGATTTTCATCAGGACCACCATCAACAGTAACAATAATAATTGGTTTAACTTGTCCAGTTTCATCACGTGCTACTTTTTCAAATTCTTTTAAACAAATAAGACGATCAAAATCTATTGCATGAGATTCAGCACTTGATAAATCATGTTTAGCTGAACGTATGGCAATATATGTTGGACCTGAATAACCTAAATCTCCATCTTCAGATAAAAGACATGCTGCATATACACTTGGTGTTAATTGATGTCGAGGTGCAACTGTCCAATCATGATCAGGTAAACGTATACGATAATCCAAATGCATTAACATTGGTGCTTGAATTCTAGCTGCAGGTAAACCTAATGGAACTTTACATTTATCATCTTGAGATAAATAAAAAACACAATCATTGCC